TAACATATGTACAATACATGTATGATACAATTTAGTATGATACATCCTTTTGGTGAATTACTACTGCATCCTTTCTATAATTTTCTATTCTCTTCCCTTTCCTCTCTTTCCTCTCTCTGTTCTCTCCTCTTTCCTCTTTCTCCTCTTTCTTCTCTCCTTTTTCTCCTTTTCCTCCTCTTTCTTCTCTCCTCTCTCCTTTCTCCTATCTCTTTTCTCCTCTCTTTTTCTCTCCTCGCTCCTCTCTCCTCTCTTTCTCTCCTCTCTCCTCTCTCCTCTCTCCTCTGTTAGCCTGCCACTCAATCAGGGGCCACTATACCTTCAACTGTGGATGAAAGACCTCCAGACCTGTCACACGGCACACATATCATGCAGAATAGGTCCATGCGGACGATGTGCTTGTTGTTAACTGACGCGGAATCAAAAAGGAACGGCATGCTAGACGTGGGTCGATAGGTGTGGAAGACACGAAATACCAGATTCTTTAATAAAGGCCAACCTGTAGGCATCTTCTGGCTTGGAGCTCCCCACACTAATTACTCTTGCTCTCGTCCAATACCAAGCTGCTGTGGACAGCCAAGGGTGGCTCTGTGGGCAGCATGCCTGCAGCTGCTGTGAACAACTAGCAGCATTTTAACATCCAGCCTGAAAAGTAATGTATGTATAACATATGTACAATACATGTATGATACAATTTAGTATGATACATCCCTTTTTGGTGAATTACTACTGCATCCTTTCAAGCGGCAAATAGATCCAAGCAAAGCCTTTCACTCAGTGGCCACTATACTTTCAGCCTTCAGACCTCCGTCAACCTGCATGATTTCGGTGTCATACCTTTGTTGTTTGCTGCTCTGTAATGCTGCAAGAAAGACAACGCTGTATTTCCAGAGCAGCTTGGCACTTGACAGCACTCACTTGCCACCCAGGTATCCGGTGGCGCCACTTGGTCCAGGTCTTCTAAGACCTTTTTCAAGGATCCTTCAGAGCCTGCACCTATTTCTAGAGGCAAAGGGCACATCCAACTTTGTCTCAGCTTTTCGTTCAGCTGGACTCCAAATGGCTTCTCCAGTCATGGAACTGTGGATCACACGGCCATAATGTTGAACGTCCCAGCCTGAGCTATTTGCATCTGCGCGTGGCGGCCTCGGCACCATCATCTGCCCGTGCAAGGTGAAGAGACTGGAAACCTCCTGAAAGTTCTAAACCGCCAAAATCATTTCTTAATGACATCAATGACATCAATCTACAGCGATCTACAAATGTCACGTTCCATTTGGACACTGACACTTCGGTTATCCTCTCAGGTGGGCAATTTTGTTGGGTCTTCTGGCGCAGCCTTGCCTCTCCCTGCCAAGGCCTGCCAGTCTGCCAGAACTCAGCCTGTTGCAAAGTCGGAGCTGTGGGTCAATTCACCCTCAAAAAACCAGCCAGCAGTAAGGCATAGTGGCATAGTGACTGACCAAAGATTCAAAGATCTTGATGAAAATCTTGGCCTGCCGAAAACACAAGAGCCGATTCCACTGCTGCCTCAGCAAGGACACAGCCACCAGACCACCAGCGATGACCAGCAAAGTGGCTAAGCGGCGCCCCATCGCAGTGGCTGCCAGGACACATGCTTGGGCAGCTAGAACTTTCCTCTGCAATCTATGTTGGCTGATCTCATCTCGGTAAACCCATCAGCCCATCTATCCCACAAAGTCACACAAGCGTGGAACTCATACTTAGACTTGATACCAGTTGGATTTGAAGGATATCTTGCAAGACTTTGCCTAGCTGTTTGGCCAACAGCATTCACTGTCCTTCCTTTGCATCTTTTAAGCCATGAACAAAACACAAGTGTTAAAGGGCCAGTCGAACCCGCTGCACATCTGACCTGGAACCAAATATCTGCAGGGCGCTTCGTGCCTCGTCTACTTTTCCCATCAGGATCTTACCGATCGACATCTGTCGGCAAACCATTCCAAAAGCGGACTGCTCTTGTCCTAAACTCGGCACTCGTTCAACACATCCACATCTAAAAACTCGTTCAAAGTCCGTCCTGTCAAAAACAATGTAGACTCAGGCTGCTGAAATCTTTGGCTACTGTATTTTTTTTTGTTCCCATCCTTCTTGTCCGTCTTTCTTGGGTCACTATGCCTCTTGCCTTTGGACTGGGGCCATCCTCCCGCCAGCCACCCCAGGCGCCCCTTCTGACTCGGGGGTCAAAGACCTTCGCCAACTCGGTAAAATCTGACAAGTTGTCACCTCCGTCGGCGGGACTTCAAGAGGTGAAACAACGTGTTTTGAGATGAAGCAACTCATCCGCATCTCAAGACATCGGAAAACACAGCTTGGGTAAGAAAAACTGCAAACCAAGCCGTGGTTTCGCTTAGATGAGTTCCATGAAGCACTGCAGGGCAACAGAACCTTTCTCATAATATCCTAACTGCAGATGAGGATCCCATAAGAATCCCTGCACCACGTTCAGTCCGCTTCATTGGCAAATCAGTTGACCGATTGTGGGATTCTTGATCAACCAGCGACGATCGCAGCGACGACCATCGATGTGATCCAACCAGCTGGTCCAATGGTCCAAGCGTCGTCCCCTCCAGCGTCTTCTGAACCGGACAGGCAGACTTCGCCAGTTGTGACCCATGACCGCGCACGAGACAAGCGGACGAGTGGCTGTTCGTGGAGGCGACGTTCAGCACGATGAAGAGGTGCACTGAAGCGAAGAGTAGCACCGGCCATAGAGGCTCCATGACTTTCCTGGAGCTGCGATGCTCCAGGTCCGAAGGCTTCCGGCTGTAACAGCAAGTACCCCCCCCTGCCATGTAGCCCCTGTGCGTGAACAAGAAATGTTGATGGTGGAATCTACAGACAGCAAGGTGAAAGGAAAAACATTGGAGCGCAAAGGACTGGCACTCTGCTGGGCTTATTTTAGAGATTTGGGGTCCATTACGTCAAGAAGATGTCAAGAGAGAATATCAAAGTGGCGATGGTGCTTACTATTGCGAGGAGGGAAGACAGAAGATAAATTTTGTTGTCATTACTACACGAATCTATTTTCCATAGAGCCCGATCCATTCTGCCTGTGGCCACTTTGGAAAAAGTTGAAGAGACACTCTGGGTGGGGCACACCAGAAATGCACAGTATACCGACACTCTTTGCATGTCTTCATAGCTGGGCTAGGGCTCTGACACATGCCAGACATAAAATCACAGGCTTTTCAAGGATCGCTGAAGCAGAAGTTTGGCGTTGGCAGACAGAAAGAGGAACCCCCCTGTTCAATCCCTGTGGTTCACGCTGGCCATGGTTGCATGGGCCAACCATCTAGCAGCAAATCGCAGGTATGACAGCTCCTCAGCTTCTCTTCTTCAGTCTGCCCAAAACAAGCTTCCTGGTGAAGGACCAGTTTGGCGCAAAGACCATCAGGAGCCACAAGTACCTCAATGCCATCGCCGCGATCGCTAACTCCGTCCCAAGGGTGGCTCAAGCCGAAGCCGAAGCCGTGGAGAGAAGATACGGTCGCCGCACATGCCATTCTAGTCAGCCCTTTCGTGTGTGGCAACCATGTACGTCATCTGCTTGAAATTTGCAGCTGACTACGGTCGCAGAAAACCAGTGGAGGTCTCGATGAGGGTCCAAATGGTCAACCAAACAGCCACAAGGACACCCAAGCGACACTTCAAAAATCACAGGCTTCGGACAGAGGTCCGGTGTCCTCAATATGGGTGTGTATTAAAATAGGGAGGCCTCCCAGTTTGAACACCCCAGAAGAATAGACCAAAACCATCCAAAACCCATTCGGCCAGGGGATCTCCCTATTAAAATACATACCCATATTGACTCGTTGCAGCATGTTTGTTCCATCCACTCCCACACCCTGTCAACAGGACATTCTTCTCGCAGTAGACAGTCGTCCATGTCTGGGGTAAACAGCGCCAGCACCAAATGGAATCACCCAATTCTCGTTCCCTGTGGGTATAGTCCTTCTTTTAAAAGCAACAGTGCCACTTGGGTATTGTATGTCCCGCTCATTCGATGTCATGTCTATGGCTCTATGGTTCCTGACTCATTCCCTACCCTTCCACACCAACAAAAGGGTAGCACGGCAAGGCGCTGCGGCAGGAAGGTGATCGCGTTGAAGGCACAGCTTACCACCTCGCCCATCCACTCCCAAGCAGAGCTTCTTTGTTGAAGAATAGGATGCCAAGGAGCCATTGCTAGACAGCAAATCTTGAACGAAGTAGACTTCCATGATGCATAGCACTCTGAGACTCAGATCTGACATCTGTGCAAGTGATAGCTCAAAGTAGAAAAAAGGTCTGTGCACATCGATAAACGCTGCTGGTGGGTGCGCAGTAACTGTTCAGACTACCTATGGCTTCGTTCACCTCCGTCCCATCACTTCTCAACTCGTCCGACGTTCACAACAAACCCGATGCCCCAGTCGACCGGCTTGGCACCGTTGGAGTTGGCCCCAAGTCTGCCAGCAGCAGCGCGCTGTCTCCGCACCGCCGAGACACGCGTCCGTCGCTACAGCGGCAGCCGCTGACCGCACGGCCCCCGCGGGTTCGGCGGAGCTGCGCGTGGGGACGGGGAGAGACGAACCTGGCAGTGGGGTGACGAACCTGACGAATCGAAAAAGAAGAGCAGACATTCTGAAATCGTTCCAGAGAAGAGTCAGAAAATCGATATGTGTTCCTTTGACGCAAAAAAAATACACCAGCATAGATCCAGATAGCTAAAAAGAATCCCAGGACCTGTTGACATGCGACTGGTTGGAACAAGAATGTACGCAGCCTGCGCAGCCAGCTTACGACACCTCGCACAATCAGCTGACACCAGCACCCGACCAGCGACGCCGCCCGTCTTAAACGCGCTCAGCCAGCTCACAGCACCAGCACCCAGGACCACAACACCAGCACCAGCACCGACACCCTTTCGAAAGTGCGCGCAGCCAGCTCATACTTATTTGCAGCAAGAACCCCATAGCTATCCCTAGTTGGGGAATAACAACGTACGATCTTGCGCGTATAAGTTTATGCGCACAAAAGTACGCGCGCAAACAGCAAAGCCCGTAAATGTCATTGGCCCAAGGCCAGGCAGTATCCAGCGCCACTATTGACTTTGTAGCATGCTTGAAGCAACGATCTGCAGAACGATAAGGCCGTATGATCTTGCGCGTATAGGTTTATGCGCACAAAAGTATGCGCACAGTCGGGTAGCATGCTGAAACATGCTGGTACACTGGTCGGTTGAGAGCCTGATGCATAGAACATTATACGTACAAATTATGCGCGCAAACAGTACAGCCCTTGACACAGCTGTCAGCCAAAACAGAACCTGAAGGGTGTAAATACCCCACAGCGCTAATAGACAAAGAACGCTCAAGCGACAACACCGTATGATGTTGCGTGCATAAGTTCATGCGGCCCATGACTGCTTGCACTTCATTGTCAGAAGCGGCGCTTGGTCCCCCTTCACTGCTGCAAGCGGCGGTTTGTTACCCTTCACTGTCAGAAGCGGCGGGGGTGTTATCACTTCACTGTCAGAAGCGGGCACCAGCACCGAGCACCGGCGCGCCAGCTTACGGCGCCCAGCACCAGCACGCAGGATTGATATAGCACCAAGCACCAGCACCCGGCACCAGCACCAGCAACCTGTCCCGACCACGTGCACAGCCAGCTCACAGCACCAGCACCGGCACCCGGCACCCAGCACCAGCACCAGCACCCGGCAACAGCACCAGCAACCTGTCTCCACCACGTGCACAGCCAGCTCACAGGACCAGCACCGGCACCTGGCACCCAGCACCAGCACCGGCACCCGGCACCAGCACCAGCACGTGCACAGCCAACTCACAGCACCAGCACCAGCACCGGCACCCGGCACCAGCACCAGCAACCTGTCTCCACCACGTACGTGCACAGCCAGCTCACAGAACCAGCAGCAGCACCGGCACCAGCACCCGGCACCCAGCACCAGCACCGGCACCAGCAACCTGTCTCCACCACGTGCACAGCCAGCTCACAGCACCAGCACCAGCACCGGCACCCAGCACCAGCAACCTGTCTCGAAAGCGCGCACGGGCAACTCACCATTATTTGAAGTAAGAACCCCATAGCTTCGCTATTTGGGGAAATATGATGTTGCAATGTTTGCAGGTCGGCTCTGTCCGGAATATTTTTTAATACAGCAAGTATCCAATACCAAACAAAGCCGTCGCCTGCCTGACAAAACCTGCCAACCCCGCGGACTAATGTCGATTTGACTGCAGGTTGTGACATAATGGTCTCATCGGTTCGTTTCACTGTGCGCACAAAAATGCCATCTGGACTCTTTTTCCTGGTTACCTTGGTGCTCCTTAAATAGGTTACACGCGACTCAAGCACAGAAAACTTTCCTGTTGGTGAGCTCCCAACTCCTGATCCACCGCTCTCTGAATGCTATGGTCGGTCGCATTTCCATCCAAGGCGCTGAAGTTGTTGCTGCCAGACACCTGCAGGTCTCTGCAGCGTCTTCAGTCCCTTCAGCGTCCCTTGGGTCTATCTTTTTCTATCTGATAACTATTGGTCATCTGTTTTGCTTACAACTCATGGTGGATTGCACCAAATGATTCATGCAATCTTGATGGGCAGTGCTTCCCAAAGAGTTCATGACTTCCTGAGCCCCTTGAGGGCCTCACACACAACGGTATTGCCCGCTGGTACAAAAGAAAAAACAAACTCCATTTTCTGAGTTTCAAAGTAACCTTGATCAGGAAACTACTGAGTGCAGGAGCCAAGCCTTTAAAGATCGAGAAGGTGTCGGAAGTGAAGAGTAAAAAGGACCCTGGGATTGCATTCGGGGTTCCATTCTTCCCAACAAAACCAGGCAATCAAGGCCCTGCAAAATGGCCAATGAGGATCTTTGAGGTAGAACATGTTGATCGCCTTACTTGTGTGACATCCTGTGGTGTCTGGTATCCCTCTGATGAGTCCTATATCAACACCCCCACTTGGATGTCATAATACAACAGTACGATGGCAAGACAGAGTGACGTAGGCCATTGGCATTTGTGCGACATCAGATTCTCTGCGCTGATGGTTCTCTTCCTAACCCAATCAAATGAACAGGAAATCCTTTCTGAGTCTTTGTAGCAGATTCTACCATCCTCGTGAATGCAGATTCTACCCCACCAGTCGCACCAGCGTCCTTGTACAATACCTGTGCCCACCATCGTCGTTTGGAAGTTCGTCACAGCATCGCTACTAGGAGCAAGGGCATTGCTACTAGTAACAAGAAACTACTAAGCTAGGGGCTCCTGGCATCGCTACTAGGAGCAAGGAGCTACTGGGGGCTCCTGGCATCGCTACTAGGAGCAAGGACGCTACTAGTAAGTTCTGGCCTTACTACTAATAACAAAGATGCTACTAGGACCATGGCACCACATTTGGACACATCCCAAATGACCCACCCCTTTTAGCACGGCGGTCCGGCAGCCGGGCCTGTACTCGCGGCTGCCTGAAGCGCTACGTTTGTGCCATCCTAGCGGTCCTAGCCTTGAAAACCACCGAGTTGACTTACGACCACCAATGTGTTGTTTCCAAGCACTGTTCTCTCCAAGAATACCAGTCTATTTCTCCCGGTTGGAATGGCAAACATGCCCTTGTGTGGGAGATTGCAGAATTAATGCACTTCAAACAATGGAGTCAGTGCAAGTTATGAGCGTTCATGAAAGTTTGGATTTGCATCTGGAGTAACTTCGCGAAGCAGAGCAATCCAAAAAGAACACAAGGATTATTTTTGAGGGATTCCATGTTTCCCTAAGGCACCAAGTGGATGGACCATGACTGCGTCTAAGTCTATGGGTGTGTTTCCCCTTCGTGTGCCAGGATAAACCCAAAACATGTCCAAACATATTCACATGAAACTGTCTTGAAGTTGTCCCGAATTCCACATGTTTGGTTTTGGTTTCAATCAAACACGACCAAAAACCACCAAATTGCAACGTCGTGCACGACCACCGGATCAGCCAAGATACGAGCAGAACTGTGAACCAAAGTCGTCGTTGTGACATGGTCAGTTTGCCAGCAGATGTTTCAAGTTTGTTTCAGTGGGATGGGAATTGTTTTTCTGACTTCAGATCTGGGTGTTCCGCTGTTCACCACTTTCCACAAAACACACACACACAAACGCACAACACTGTGCGCCGTTGTCTTTCGGTTGAGCAACTTGATTTAGAGTTGAGGTCCAATGCTATGAAAAAAATCATGGGAGCGGTTGCTGAACGACATTCTTTTAAAGCATTTCAAAATCTCAGGGAAACATCTTCAAAGCACTGTCCAAATGCCTGCGCAATGTTCGCAAATCAAAACGGCATCACATCATCAAATGTTGGAAAAGGGACAAACGCTCGTGGTTATAGGTCCGTCCCAACCGAAACGAAAGTCAAAATCTGCACGAAGTCGAAAGAAAACCGCAAACTGTCAATCAAACATCCTTGTCACACTGCACTTACACAAAATTGGAAACACAGCGAAACCATGGTCTCCAAACAATCACTTTCCCTCAGCACCACTCCAAACCACGTTGTGATCAAAAGTACCAAGGCACGCCTTTTTCACAGCAAGGGGCAGTCACGGGCCTGTGTCAACACCTCCCCCTCTTAGAAGGCACAGGCTCTTGACTAGCTGTTAAGCGAATACCTGACTGCGCTATTATTGAATAATGAAGTCACATGTTGGCCCGCAACAAAGTTCTTCCAGCAATCGAGTGCACCACAGCACACATCAAAGTATTCGCATTCAAGGATTATAGTTTTTTCCTTGGTGGGATTTAGCATAGCATGAATATCCGATGGAATCGCCTCTGAGATGTACCTGCCCACCTTACCGGTTTCATCATAAAGCAGCACCAATCCCGGCGGTAGGCGCAGACTTGTCTCAGATCAGCCATGTGCTGGATGCAGGACGTGAGATCTTGCGAGGGACGAAAGTTTGCTCCCTATATTGTCGAACAGGCGTGTGCCGCAAGCACTGCCAGACATGCCTTTGCAGTTCTCCCGCACAACTGCCCAGGTGCGAATTGGAGTCACCCTCTGAGTCAAGGTGCTTCAACTTTTGGTAAAATTCCACGTTGGATGATTTTATCAAGAGAGTCTAGGAGGTCTGACTTACCCATTCGGGTGCCACTTTGCTCACATAAAGCTTTCATGGTGTCAGAGAATGGGCTGGATTTTTCAGCCTCTTGGCAAACTGCCAACCTGCCAAGTCAAGCAACATCTGAACTGTGATCGACTTGCACTCCTCAAATGTCACAAAGTCGTCAAAATGGTTGCACCACAACATGTCGACCAGCATGACCCCTAGGCACCACAAACTATGCACGACTCTTGGAAATGACTTAACCGATTTCGCGCCACCGAATGAGCTGGTCATGTCAGTTTTCTAACTGGCATTGACAAGGGTCATCACGATTTTTTTCCTCTGAAAACGCGCGTTGAGGTCGATGCTTCACATCGCCAAGATTGATGAAAAGTGAGAAAAACAAGACAGGTGCAAGTACAAAGAAGTGAATCAGAGGTGAAACAACAAAAAGTGAAACGTTGAGCCCGCTTTGAAGTATCGGCACAGCCAGGACAGGAAATTCAGGAGTCAGATGAATTAACAAATGAATTCATCACGAGATAGTCACATGGGTCACACACGACTGTGAGCGGAGGACATGAATGACGGATGCACTGTTGGCGGCGCTCACCAGGATTTCTTTTCAGGGACGGTGACATTCATCAAGGTTGAACACAACCTGGCGACCACATCCAGGGTGTGAGATTTCGAGTTCTCTATCTGAGTACATGCACTCACACCTGACGATAAGTCATCTACACTTCGCACTTCGCCTTCCTGAAGATCGAACTGTTTGCTCAAACGGACTTTGACGGACTGGTTTGAAAGGAAAGATCGTCAACCTCTTGAAGTGTTGAATCTTCTGAGTTGCACTTTTGCCGCAAGAAAGAACTAGTCGACGGATGGCCCGGAAGCGTGGGAGGGAAGGTCACGCAAAAGAAAGTGCGCGTGGAAAAAGATGTGTAAAAGTACATTTGAAGGCTTTATGGCTGCACTGCATGGCTGTATTTGCATGTGCGCTACAAGATGATACAAAGTTTCCAAAGATGAGACTTGTGGACACCGCCAACCATTCCGCTTCTCAGCGACGCGCCGATTTTGCACCATGCGTTTCCTTCCACCAATGGCAACTCAAAACCCAATCGCAAACGCACTTTCCATCATGGCCGCTCAAAACCGCATGGCGTAGCGACAGCACAGACGGAATTTGGTCACACAGTGTGCACCAGCATTGTGCGCGTCGCCAATCATCCCGCTTTTGGGTGGCCGCGCAAAAAAACCGCATGGCACAGCAACATCACAAATGGAATTTAGCCACACAGTGCGCAACAGACTGGACACGACAACATAAACATTGAGCATCGTGGGCGCCGCCAATCATCCTCCCCAAATAAACTTGAATCCGCCTTGGCGAAGTGTTACTCCACTGTTTGAGCCCCCCAAAAACTTGAACTGAATGGCCATGGACAGCAACTCAGTTCAATCTGTGGTTCTGACAACAGACAAAAAAATGACATTCCCGAAACTGTTTCCAGTTGCTGTGAACGTGCGCTTGTGATCCATGCTCTGAAGCACCTCTGCTCGATCTCAACCAAACGCACGCGCAAGCAACCTCAAAGCCTCAAGGCGTGAACGTGGATTGTGTTTTTTCCCCTCGCTGTGCGCATTGTGGTCGAAGCCATGCGTCACTGAGACTACAGAAACACGAGAAGACTTGGAAGGATTTGATGAAAAAACAACACACAAAGAAAAAGAACGTGAACGTGGATTGCAACAATGCCAACAACCGACGTCGCACAACAGTTTCGTCGCACAACAGCTTCGCACATCTCCGTGCTCCTTTTTCCCACCTGTCAGGTGAGGGTTGTTGAAATCAAAGGTCACTTGCTTCTCGTCTCCTTGTCCTATCCCATAGGCTGTGGACCAAGAGTTAGAGAGATGAAAGGACCGGTCCACAGCTATAATCCATTTCGTTTATATCTTAGCCAAGTTTTTTAATAGGAAAATGATGAAGGAAATAAAGGTTTGGCCCCATTTATGTTATGTGGATTCTATCTCTATCTCTTAATTCTTTGGAAAGTCCACTAATATAAAATAGATGGCATAGATTATTCTGCCCATCTTCTTTAATTAAAATGATGAGGGACACAGGAAAGAAATAATAAGAGATTGTGAATTTTCTGAGTTCTTATGTCTTTTCATGGAAAATTCACCAACATAATTCATATCTTTTCCTTGTGCCTTTTCATCTCTTATCTTCTCCAGATCAACCATTATATCAGGTGGATCTTGGGGGTGCCACAGGGAAGACACAGAGGGCCCCTTCTTGGATCTGGGGCCCCCCTTACACATCCAAGCCTTTCAATCATCAACAGTGGTCATGGTGTCTCCAAAGATGAAGAGAGAAGGAAAAACGATGCTTGAAAGTCTCCAAAAATGCCTATCAGTTTTTGTTTTAATTGTATTTTTGAGGTTATCTGTCTCTTATGATCTGGCATGCGATTCCAAAGGGTGTATCGGCAGGCCAGATCATCCATGGTATTTTTTTTACTTTATTTTAGTGATTTTCTTATGGCAATAGATTACAAAGAAAATCCCAAGATAATAACATGCCATTAAATACCATGATAGGTAAAAAATGAAATAATATAAGACCACATCTTACTTTCATTAAATTTTGGAAGAGTATAAGCATAAGAAGTCCATTATTTTAATTTTTTTCGATTATAAACAGAGTATCTGCTATATCTTTAGGGAGCAACAAATAACTTACGTCCGCCGGCCCTGGGGGACGGGGTGTTTTGGGTAGTTGGCTTTTTGTTAGTTCTTTGTTAAGCTATGTCTTGTCTGCTTTAGTGCCCCCCCGGGCGGATTTTTGAACGGTCTAACCTGACCCCCCCCTTCCCC